AACATTAGTGATGTCACTAAGGTAACAAAAACATTTTGAAAAAAATTGAAATTTTTTTTAAATGTCAATCTTTTCTAAATATGCTAAACTGCAATAATAAACCAATGTTGATTGTCTAACCAGGTTAAAAGGAAGAATATATTATGTTTTAGATATCATTGTACCATTGGCTTCTATGAGAACTAAAATTTTGAAATGCATTTTTCTCGGAACCATTTTTATGCACTGATAAGTTCATTTCTGGATTATTTATGAACCGATTTTCATAATTTTTTCGGTAAAAAACATGCGAGGATAAATTTTAGCATTAGTATGAATTGGGGCTAATTAAAAGATATGCGTGACCTCTAAAAGTTAGTTTTAAATAAATACACAAATTTTGAAACAAAAAGTCTATCAAAAACCACTTTTTGAAATTAAAAAAAAAAGTTTCACATATCACACTTTGATAACATTGGGTAAGACTACAATATAAGCCAAAGTGGTTTAAACTTTAGATGGGGACTTTAAGGAGAATGTGCCTCAATTCACACCCCCTTATCACTGGCCCCCCAGATCACCTGATGCCAACATCTGCGACTGCCACGTATGGGGAGTGTATCATGAACTCCTTACATATTTTCAGTCCCTAAAGGACAGAATTGTTGATAAGTGGAATTCACTGTCTCAACAGCATATCATTGATGTTACAAATCAGTTAGGCCAATATTGGGGGCTATAATTGATCAAAATGGAGGACATGTTGAACATCTGTTTTTATAGACAAATCTTGTTTTTGCAAGTTTTTTAAAACCTGTTTTGAAATGAAAATGATGTCATTTGTATTATGGACGCTGGTTGACATGGATTATAATAAATTTGAACTTATGATATACCAAATTAAAGAAAAGTAAATTCCCTATCCACTGGTATATTAATCATTGTTTATTCTTGAAATATGAGTGTCCCATTTTTTGGACCACCCTGTACTATTATTATTGCCCTTCTGGTCAGTTGCTTCTAGTTGACCCTTGTATGTATTATTGGACCCCCTCGGCTTTTTTAGTGCTTGTCTGATTTCAATAATAGAGAGGTTTTGGTATACGTTTTCAGCCGAACTTCAAGTTTTAAATGACGAAAACCCCACTGGGAAGGAACATTTCACGAAGACACGAGGAAAGTACTTTCTCTCGTTTCCTAATCAAGGGAATTAATTTGTGAATATCTCAGCAATCACAGTATCAATTTCTAAGTTCTAATCATATTTTGAAACCGGAACTACATACTTGCCAAATATTGGAATGATCAAAGGAACCTATCTTTGTTTCCAGTTCCTCCCAAGTGCTTTACCATGACTTGCCCGAATCTCGCTATAAAGGGTGTTACATAACGTGGGCTTTTAGTAAAAAATCTACGAATGTAATATAGTTCAAATGCATATACTATTTGTAACTTTTTCTTATTTATTGTCACATGTGTCAAATGTCTTGGTCTAAAATAAAATACTTGGTTCCTATGTGATATATACATTATAGGTCTGTTTTATCTCAAATTGACTTTGGTAATGGACATTATGAAACACCCTGTACAAATACTGGAGGGAGAGTTTGTTATGCAGCCAATGCAAATGGCTTGCTCCATGCATCGCTAACACAGATGAGATTGATTAGTTTATCAAAATGGTAGTCAAAGTGTTTCATCGAATACTTCACATATTCAGCTTATTAACGTTAGATAGGGCTCACGGTCAATTGGTCGACACACATGAGTATGTTATGGTTTACGTGTAGATCCAATTTCATAAGTATACCATCACCATATATATGCCTTTTTATACATTCAAATCTTATCTCAACTTTAACTTTTATTTGAACTGTGAAATGATTCACTTGTTCGTGTAATGAACCACGTTAAAGGGTCTTGTTTGTAGAACACCAAGCCACAAAAGCTAGATACTGAGTTGATAATGTGCAGATTACAATGATGCAGCAGATATCACATTTGCAATCACTAATAGATGAATATGCTTTACAACACTGAATCTATTTATGTCAACTTTTAGTGAGGAACAATTCATGAAAATCAATTTGTACTTTAAAGTACAAGTTTACCTATACATTTTCAAACTAGAAAACAACAACTCCACGGAGTAGTAAATCTCACCGAGCAAAACATATTTTGCTTATTAGTGGCCATCTTGAAAATTCCTTCTTGAGCAGAGCTTGTTTGTCCCTAGGCATCAACATATAAAATGTAAACCATATCCATCAATTAGCATTTGAGTTATCAAAGATTATATTCCTTTTTTACAAAAATGGCAGCCATTTTGAAATTCAGCCGCCATTTTGAAAATCTTTCTTGAACAGAGCTACTGTGTCACTAGGCATCAGTCTGTAAAATTTAAAAAAAAAGATAGCAGATATTGTGAAAACCAATTGAAATCAATGTCTTTGACATTCATATTTCAAGAAGCATTACAAATATTACAATCATTGATTTAGTTAGAAAATAGATAAATGCTCATCTTTGTATTATTCCTACATAATTTTGGTCCACAATTTTGCCAAGGAACCACAACGGAATATAAATCTAATTCGTGAAACTGAAAAATTGGGGGTAGGGGAGAATAAAAAAATAAATCTAAAATTTAGAGAGGGTTTTCATCATAATTCTAATACCAAAGTTTGCATAAACATTCAGTAGCATGCAAAAGAAATTCAAAGGTATTCAAATAGTTTCTGAGAAAAAAATGTTTTTCTCTCAAATTCTTGAAGAGAACTTGAATCACAAATATTTGTCAATTAACTGTATTTCACATTTAAAAATTCATAAGATAGTCAATTGTGGCTTGATTTTGATGAAATAACCCTGCAGATGTTAGGGTTAATATTACAGTTTTAAATGTTGTAACTTAAAATTGTAAAAGTAACACTTAAGTGACGGCCATTTTGAAACTGGTGGCCGTTTTCTAAAATCAGATTTCTAGTAGAACTTGAACACACATAGTGCATATACCTATAAAATATAAATGATATTGGGCCAGTATTTGAGTTATTGCCTGAACAGACAGACATATGTACGTACAGGTGGACAGAACCATTCTTTATATTCCCCCGAGCTTTGTTCAATGAGATATTATATCACACAACTAGACACTGAAGCAATAATAATTGAAAAATGATATGCAAGATGGGAAACTAAAATGACCCCTTTAAGCAATTAGTATAAATTCACAGAACAAAACTATACATAGTTTTACTGACACAATCTTTTTGAAAAATATGTCAAAACATGTGAATCCCTACTTCTCAGATACTGTAAGCTGAATAATCAAAGGGGGTGGTTCACCCTGTATGTATCTAAATACATGGCATTGGGATTGTTTTACCAATACTCTTATACATCCAGTGCTCAAACCCACACTCTATGCATAATATGATGCAAAGAACCTTTGTGAACTGAGCAAGAGTTGTTATTGACATTCAAATTCAAGCCATTCTTGTTCATCTCTTCATTTTTTAAATGTTTTTAATATCAAAAATTACAGGGAAATTTTAATATTTGATATTAAAAATCTATTTTTTATAAATGTGATCTATAATTATTATTATTGGAAAGAATCAACTTTGTGCAGAGAAAACATATTTTTATTCAAATTACATTAAGTTAGTTACTAAATCGTTAATAGTTATTGTGTTAGTTACTCAGTAGCTTATTTATTTCAAAACAATTTTCAATCACAAAACCCCCGCCATTGACTTTATATCACTGGGGGGGAGGGGGGCATGGGCCAATATTTGGGCCGAATTTTGGGATTTAGGGGCCCCCTTCTTGTTGGATTCGCAAGTGGATCCACCAGTGTTATAGTATAGTGTTAGTATTATGTCATCAATTCCAAGAATTTTTGCATCTTGTACAGCAGTAATATGATGTCAGATAGTTACCATGGCAACAGGACTGTTTATTAAGTTGAAATAAAACAAATACAAAAAATGTGAACATATGATGAATAAATTGAAAATTGTGTAATTTTAACGTCAAAATAGCGTCCCGCATACCCTTTTATGACGTCACGTTATCAAGGATAAGTTAATAAATATGAAATATTGTATACAAATATTTCTATACATAAATTCTAAATATATTTTACACATACTGTGAAAATTTCAATAAAAATACTACAAACTAACAAAATGAGAGCGTTTTTCCGGGAACTTATTGAACGACCTGGTATATATGAGAAAGTTCCCTGAAATGAAGTCCTACTAATGTTATTAAGTAATCACTGATAACTGTAATTCTCAGAGCTTTGAAATCTTCAGAGGATGTTTCACGTACAGCAACTACTAATATTTATTTCAAAGTACTACTTTAACAAAGGGTCTGATATTTAAAATGGACGGACAGATAGAAGCTTAGTCAATCTCATAGGCTCATTATCTGAGCCGGTCGAGCCAACTAGGCATTAACATGCAAAATGTCACCACCTGCCGAACACCAAACACCAACTGGAGAAAACCATCCACAAAAAAGCAGGAGACTATAAAAAAAATATGTCATTACTTCAGGTGGTGAAAATAAATAAAACCTTTATCTAATGAAATATATAAACTAAAATATTCTTCTCACAGATGAATATCTAAAGGCTTAACCTTTATGTGAAACACAATATTTGGACATATTTTTATTTTTACAAGTTATATGGTATTTCCAGTGCACAATAAAATCACATAAAGTAAATTGGTTGAGCCAGGAATCGAACAGTGGTTTGACAGGGTGGGAAGTGTGCATTTTTTCTTTAGACCAAATCGGATGGCCAGCAAACATTGAAGGAATAATCGTGATAATGAAACGTTTATCATGAGTATTTGTACAAAATCTTTTTTTTCATTTGATCATCATCGTATATCCTCTCATTTTAGCTTGAAATATCACCAGGGACATCAGAACAACCAATGATTGCTTTTGATCAACAGGTGCAGGTTTAACATTTCTAAATGAAGATATGTTATGTCACTTACTGATCTTTGGCAAATACAGATCCTGTAAGACCAAAGGGAGACGTTGTGTTGACCAGATTCATGACACTCTTGTACTCGTCATCAGGGTATGGGTAGACTGTCAACACAGGGCCAAATATTTCCTGAAACACAGAAATTCACATAAATAGGATCAAATATCTCCTGGAATCCAAGATTGCTTAAAAACAAATCCAGTTGTCTCCTGAAACAAACTGATATAATATTTTATTGTATTTTAAATGAAATAATATTGAGGTAAAATACAAGTTCAAGCAACTGTACTGACATTTTTGAATATTTTTGGACATCAATATTAATTTCTTGTTAAGATTTCCTATATACAGAATCAGACGTTAAGTTGAAATAAATATACTGTATTATCTAGAAAAACAGCAACATAAGGGAGTAGCAAATCCCACCTATAAATATTTTATCAAATCACTCATAATTATTTTTGAACACGTTGTACAATTTTTTCTTTTAATAAATCTGCACTTATGACACGATACCATGAGGCATCAACCTTTAAAATTTGGATTAAATCCAATAAATGATTTTTGTGTTATCGTGAATTATATTTCTCCTTTTTGAATTTAGCAGCCATATTGCAAATTACTTGGAAAATCCAATATCCAATATTTTTCAGCACATATCCCATGGCACAAATGTATCAGCAATAATAAATTTGAGCCAAATCCTTCTATCCATATTTGAAAAATCAAAGATAATATTTTTTATGAAATATGTTGGCCATTTTGAATTGAGCAGTCATATTGGAAACAACATTATCACCAAAAAATGGTGGTCATTTTGAAAATCGGAAACAACCTTGATAATTCTTTCTTTCACAGATGATATTCTTCATCTTTAGGCAACAGCCTATAACAATTGAACTAAATCTGACAATTTGTATTTGAGTAATATCTTTTATCAAAAATGGTGGCTATTTTGAATTAACTGTAACATAACGTTCACATAAATTATGTTTCTAAAGGAAATATTTCCTAAAGAATTCTGGGTTTGTATTTTGAAGAATATTTTGGGTTTTGATTCCACATAAATCAGTTTGAAGATTTTGAAAAAATGATGTTAAAAATTTACATGAAATACTTGGGAAGGACTAGACAAAAAAGGTGTGAGATATAATGAACATTTCGTATAAGAACAGGTATACATTATTAGAATTAAATGAATGATGCAACCCAAAGGTATCGGCGTAAAATTCAAACTATATCGATGTCTGAGTTTCTTTGAAAATTACTTCTCATGCAGACATCTTACGTCCATAACCAGACTATAAAATGTTGAACCTAATCTGTCAAATGCAACTTGGGTTATAACCCAGACACATGAACACTTTTTTCCACTGTATTCTGTCACCTTGTAACCAATTTTTGGTCAATCGGGAATATACTTTAACTTCATTCTATCAGCAAAATGTGTTGGTTGCCCCCACCTAATCATTGACACTATTCACACCTGTCATACAGAAATGGGAGTTTCATCATTATCTCACTGAAACATTTAGTAGTTAGTATTAGTAGAAGGTTTTTTGAAGTGATTCATTTGGCAAATGCTAATTTCAATTTGTTCCCTGGATATAATGATGTCAGCAAAATTTTGTTCCCTTGGTGAACAATGTGTGCAAAACAATTGGCAGCTGTGACTGCCCTTGATGATTTAATATGGGGTCAACTTAGTGTAACTTAGACCTTTATGACATTAAGTCACATTAATTGCTCTCTCTGGTCTGATATATTGAGGACTCTGTTGCAAGGTGAACTTTGTTTCAAGGAATCGCTAAGAGTTAGTTCAGGTTACTTGATGAGGGATATTGACATCACTTCAAAGTCATTACCATTTGGAAATGTGTTATGTTCTAAACATGAAAAATATCATCACCTTCCATTTTTACAGACACAAATCACCGTCTTCTAGTGATGAAACAATAAAAAGTAAAATAAAATAAAAATAAAATTTCAATATTAATATAGTTTCATATCCTGCTGATGATGAAATTGAGTTGATGCAGTTTCTTACAGAGGTTCCATTATGTAACTTATAATAAAAAGAGGTCCCATGAAACAGCGGCATAACTATCATCTAATGATTAAAACCACATTTTGTTGATGAAAAAAAATTAAACATGACATCCTGACATTATATCACACTTCAATAATAAAACCAAGAATGCAAAAAAACTAATCCACTGTAAATTATTATGCCAAGAAGCAACCTCGTCAATAAATGAGCATGCAATAAGTGTCAACCAAATTCAGACAGTCACATCTTGGACTGTGGACATTTTCTGATTATTGGAACAGGTGTGTCATTCATTTTCTCCATTCATAGTACATGTTAATCAAAATCTAAAATAGACAAAGGGCGACCACCCAATCAACATTGTAGATTTCATTCAGTGGGCTTTCAACATAATGAATTGCATTCAATGAGTTTTACTCTAATTAAAGTAACATGGGGAGTGTTTTCCCTAATTATCTCAAATAATACTATTTTTGCTTTAAATGTGATATCAGATGTTTTGGGAGATACTATGCTTGAAATTGCAAGGAATATATTGGTAAGTCAGATGTACATGTTGCTTGCAGTTTTGTCACTCCATAGATCTAATTCTGCCTTTAAAGTAGATTACAGTGAGTTTACTTAATTATGATATGGTTAGTTCCTCAATCTGAATGGTTTATTCTCAGCTAACATCATCGAGAAATGATTTTAACAGTCAACCTTTGGCGAGGTAGATAATTGTTTACCGTGAAATTCACAAGATCTCATAATGAATTAATATCGTTATTCCAAGACATGGCAGCCTAACCTGTAGTAAACATATCAGATTATAATCCAATCTATTGCATTTTATTCAATTATTCTAAATATAACTTGATACTACTGAAAGGTATTATTTGATTATATCATTTGATAGGATTTTGGTTATAAGATATCAGTGCTATTTCCATTATTACCAATTTTTCTCAATATTTCATTAATATGTTTAACTGAAAGTGAAAAGATCTCACCCTAGCATATCTAAATTGCACTTTAATACATAACTAGAAATCAAGATTGCAAATAATCTTACTGAGGCCCCTTAATGTCTATCTATATAAAAAAATTTCAGCCAAAATATATATATTTGTCGTCTCAAACTTTGACAAACTAATCTAAAAAAATCAATTTGAAATATCAACTGTGTGACCTTTTGAAGGTCACTGAAGGTCTTTCAAAGGTAAAATCTCAAACTCAAAGTCAGAATTGAACTTCTGAGAACTTGTTGATGATCTTAAAAAAAATTTAGTCAATCTGAAACAAATTAAAATTAGTCCCTTTTTGACCTTCAATATCTCAAAATCTGGAGAAATATTCTCCAGATGGCAATAGGCTTTCACTAAAGGAATACTAATATCTATCTGTATACAAAATGTCAGCCAGAAATATTGATTCTAAATGTCGAATTTTGAGAAACTTAGATAGCATATATAGTACTATATATATATCTTTTATTGACTCTTTAGATGTCATATCATGAAATATTAGTCACTAAGGTAGAGCAGTTCTTCCCATTATCGAGTTGAAGAACTGGTATCTTTATCCTGGATAGAACCATAGACAATTCTAGCCAGCGCCAGCCTTTTATCGAGTTAGCAGCACTCTAGTAATCGCCGGTATAGGTCAGCAGTCATAGGTCAAAGACAAATCACAAGAAGTGCTGTGACCTGGGTTTGAACCCAAGACCTCTACTTTTCAGCCTGAAGCCAGACTTCCTGCTTTTCAGACCAATGCCTTAACCACTAGGCCAACGGCGACCATAGATTGTAACCTAATTCGATTTGACCTTTGACCTTGAAAAAGTACCTATTTTGAGCATGTAGTAGATAGTTGAAATCTAGTTGGAAGTAGAAAAAAGTATGGGAATAAATATAAATAAATACAAATAAAAAAACAAATGATAATTAAAGGTCTACAAAATTAATATGGGACACTCAATGGTGCTGCCAAATAATAATAATCTCTGAAAAAAAAGTTAAAATACCAGAGTTATCAAAATCCGAAAATATAATATATCTTCTCAAAGGTCAGATAGCATACTCTAACGTAAAGCCATTATATGGGTAATAACTGTGTCCTTCGACCCAAATCTGGAGAGTCTCATTATTATGATTTTGTAAAAATGGGTCTGAAATTCTTAATTATGAGTCTTGCAAAGCTACATGTCCATTTAAAATTAGGATTCATCAGTGAAATTCCATTGAGTCCTCTAACTTTGGAATTAATCATGATTCATTCAATTCAGCAAGATTTTAGTATTCAATTCATCAAAAGATGTCACTATAATCACAATTTTCTGAATTATCATTTATTTATTTATTCTTTCCCCTACTTTTTTTCTACTTCCAACTAGATTTCAACTATCTACTACATGCTCAAAATAGGTCAAAGGTAGAATTGAATTAGGTTACAATCTATGCTATCTAAGTTTCTCAAAGTTCGACACTTAGAATCAATATTTCTGGCTGAAATTTTGATTTGAAATAAGGTAAGCACAAGAAAGCAAAATCTACTTACCTGTTGCATAATTGTATCCTGAGGATCTTTGGTTTCAATAATTGTGGGCTCTACATAGTATCCTTTGCTGAAATTATAATAAAACCTCTCGTCACTTCATCTTGAGATCAAAATTGAAATATTGCAACACAGACATGCCACCAAAATATATCATAGGCTTTTGTTTATTTAACCAATGGTTCATTAAGGATTTAAGCTGTTTGAATTACATCTACATGTGTTACATTGGGAGGCTAATGGTAAATAATCTCAACAATGTCAGTGTTTCCTACCAAAAAAAACTGTTAGACAAACAATTTATTTTAAGGTCCAACATAAAATGAATTAAGTTTTTTGTGTTAATTGTTACATTAAACATGCATCTCTGTCACATATTTATTAGAGATCATACCTGTCATCACAGTTTCCCCCAGCAACTATTTCTAGATTGTCGGAACTCTTCGCATGATTGAGGTATCCTTTGATACGATCGAATGACTGAAATAAAGTACACAATTATATTTTTCAATTGATGAGTTTAGCAATGATGTAGCTTATATGTAAGGAAATGTATGTTCGAAAAAAATAGATAACACCTGCTTCAAACTTTTATTTATGGGTCCAATTGCATAATCTTCCCTCCCCACCCATTCCATATAGCTTCGTAATCTATCTATCATATGAAAATTCTCCCAGTATTTTCCCTAGCAAGCAAAACATAAAATGAAAAAGGGTGACAAGTGCAATACAAAATGTACATGCATCATAATACAATATGAATAATAATTACCTTATCATCTATAACAGCTGAAAGGAAGGTGTCTGCGTCAAGGGCTGAGCCCAGTTTGATTTCTTTCTGTATATTGACTAGTTTTTGTTTCACTTCAGGCCACATAGACTGAGGTATATAAGCTCTGGAACAGGCTGAGCACTTCTGGCCTCCATACTCAAATGCTGACCTGAAATAGATTTCTACTTTTAGAAATGTGTACTTAAATCTTTGAAAATAAAAATCTAAATTTGGTATCACTGTACCAATAAAATATACATGTATACTTTCTATTCCACTTTTGGGACACCCTTATAGACAGGAAACAGGAATAAACTAATTTAAAGTTCAGATGATTAATCGCTACCTTATTGTCCCCATGACTACAGAATCTACATCGGCTGATTTATGCACGAAATGGAAGTTCTTGCCACCACATTCTCCAATCAAACGTGGGAATGATCTGTAATTCTCCAGATTGTTGGCTACCTGTTTCCATAAGTGACGGAATGTTCTAAAAATGTAAAATGTTAAGTGTTATAAATTACAAAGTACATGAATCACACCAGCAAGCACGGGTTAACCACAACTTGATGCCCTAAAATGTATGAATTTGAATTTGAATTTATAGAGTAAAATGGCTGCCATGTTATTTACACAGCATGCCCAAAATCAGATCTTGGTACAAGTATGCTCTTGCATCTGTAAAAATTTGAAGTAAAACGGATAACTGGTTCTCATGGAATTTTTAATGACGAGATTTGTGTAGTGATTGCCCACCAAAATGCAAGCATGTACAAACTACATGTAAACACAATTTTAAAGAAAATCTGTCAAAGGTTGATCGAAAAACTTCTAAAATGACTGCCAGAAAACAAAATGGCTACCAAAAAGAAATGTGCATGAATTTAAAGAAAATCAGACAAGCAGTTTCCTGGAATTGAGATGACAAAAAGCTTGATGGCATCATGATCAAGAGCCTGATAACACTGCCAGCATGATGACTACATCCCATTGGTGGTGTGATAATAATGACAAAGTACAAAATTGGATTTATTTTCTATTTGGCCTTAAATATATATTTGTATATGAATGCAGTCAAGGAAAACTCTATTGGATCGCATCTTACCTTTAAACCTCATAGAAACTTCTATATAGATGTCCTTTCAGTAAAATACTTATTTAAACAATTATTCAACATTTCATCCTTTTCTGTAGATTTACTTTTGGACCATCCTATACTGTAGATAGCTAAGCTTGTGATTGTGATCTTGTTCATAATAATGATGTTCCATCCACCATACCTGACACTGCCAGTGAAGTTAATGCCAGCTAAATCAGGGGAGGCTGTGATTGCATCTCCAAACACTGGGCCATCTGAGGGTAGGAAGTTGATAATGCCTGCAGGGAGGCCTGCCTCTCTGTAGATCTTGTAGACTGTGTAGCTTGACAACATAGCAGTATCAGAAGGCTTCCATTGCACAACATTACCCTAACAGGAACATAATGAAAATAATCAGTATCATTTTAGATTATTAAACATGAATCTTTTGTAATACAACAAATTGATTGTTTTGTTTGTTTGTTAATATCCTTTATAGGATTATTATTATTACTCAATGCTACTTATCCATTTGCGTTTGGTCTTTAAGTGCATATTAATTTGTTCTTTTCTAAAAAGTCTAACATTCCTCATAATATTACTAGTTTTTATATGTGCTCACTTAGTTTCCCACTAATGTTTCTCACTTATAAACGCTTAAAAGTCTTCATTTTTCATGTTAAGTTCATCTACTGTTAAATCGAAACTAGGATGTCAGACCTTATGCATCATTTAACAATAGAAATATATTGATAGCTTACCATGAGGGCTGGTGCAGAGGTGAGATGTCCACCTATAGCTGTGAAGTTGAATGGTGAGACAGCTGCCCAGAATCCTTCCATACCCCTGTAGACCATGCTATTGTGTATAGAACCCTCACTAATCGGCTGGTACTTCATCAGTTCCTACAATGATTTTTAAAGTCAGTCATTTCACCAGTAGATTTTCAAAGTAGACATTTTTTCAAACTATATATTTGAACCTTAAATTGGGAAAAATTCTGCCAAAAAGAAAGATTAGACACTTTTCAAAATAAAATTTAAATCATTGACATAAAACACCTTCGGTAAATGACTAATCCTACTACCAAACTGGTTTAATTATCACACAAATTTTATACCTCGACACATACATTATTTATATATTCAGTCTTTCATTCACTCACCAAGGCATATTCTACGTCAAACCTCAGGAAGTCAATGAGTTCAGGTCCAGAGTCAATCTCAGCTTGAATGAGATTCTTTCCCTGCAATATGAATATGAGTCAAACTATAAACTATTCTTTTAATGACCTTTTCACGTTTTATGCTTTTTTCAAATAATATTTCTTTCTCTTTTTTAGTAAACAAACCATGAAATCAGAATACCTTTTCGTTTACCTTAAGAAAGTCAATAAAACTGAATAACTTCAATGGACCATGAAATTAAGGAAGTCCACATTGGACAATATACATTATCTTGTGTTAAGCAATAAAGTATCTGTAGTCTGTACCTGCCCTAGCATAGTGGATGCCAGTACCTCCCCACGTCGCTCCTTGGCAATCATGTCAGCAGCTTTCAGAAACACTTCAGCTCTCTTCTCAAAAGGTGCTCTCTCCCAATCATGCCTGGCTTTAAGGCTAACATCTATTGCTTTCTGAATAAGGTTACCATCTGCATAGTGGTATTTGGCTATTTGCTTTTGATGATCAAATGGCTGAAATTATAACATAATATAATATATATATAGGTAATGCTGATTGAAAACCTAATAGATGTATCATTCATAATATTTATCAAAACAAGGCAATGCAAAATGTCACCCCCTTGATATTTGTTACAGACAAGATATTGAGTATTGTGTCTTTATTTGGTATTGTTGTCTTATTTAAAACTGGAGGCAGAGAGAACAGATGCAAGACACAATATTAATGAGACAGAACAGATTTGTGACAGAAGAGAAGTGAGACACATCAGATATGAGACAGAACAGATATGAGACACATCAGATATGAGACGCATCAGATATGAGAGGGAACAACTATTAGAAAGAACAGATATAAGACAAAAGATACAAGAAAAAATAGACATTGAAAGAAATCATCCAAATATCAATATCATTTTGCTAGCTACTTTAAAAGTAGTTCCTTTTGAGTAAAGTTAAGCTCTTGCTTATCTTAGATGCTTGTTCACCTGCGTAATGGGATGTTAACACATGTTGTTATTTTCTTATCACAAAAACAAGGTGATATTACAAAAAGTATAGTAATGACAAAGTATATAAAGTATATGTGTCATCACAGTCTGTAATGGTAATACATATATTATGTGATGATTATTCACGGACATTACTTCTGTTTTGGCTAGCAATGACGTCGAAATGAAATGAAAAATCACGGTCCAACAATTTGCTCGAATCCAAGGCTAACAACCCATGTTGCCATAGTAGCGATGATGGGAAATTGAACTAGTAAATAAACACCTTTAATTATAAAAGCAGAAGAAAATATTTACTCAGACATACATTACAATACATTAGTAGTAGAATTGAACATTTTCGAATAATATGAACGTACTTTCATGAAATTTTTCTGAAATTTTTTACAATTGTATATATATTGTTTTAGACTAATTGCGTTTTATCTGAGAGTTGGTTGTTCTGTTGATTGTCCCATTGATTTTCTTAATATATTGGAAATACTTTGGTGAAGAGTTGGTCTCAATATATCAATAAGGTATATAAGATAGTATCTAAACAATTAGAATGGAATATCACTGATTGTCCAGGGATAAACCACAAGACATGGCCCATAGCCAGCTTTCAGTCAGGGGGGCACCCATCGCACCCCCCTCTGGCTACTCCTAAGTGGCCTCTTTAATCTTTTTACTTTTACAATTTCTATTCACTGATTTGAGTTATATAAACAATTAAAGATGCTGGTTGCTGTACAATTCAGGAAGTATGTTTGTATTAATGTCACATGCTGGTTGAAGCAGCTGATTATTGGTGAACAAGAACCGTATTTATATAAAGTTCAACAACTAGCAAGTACCTGCATGTTAACAATTCATCTCTGGTCTATTATAGAGGTTCATTATGTTTAATTAAGTTTAAGAAAGTAAAATTCAATATCAGCATACATATTGTATGTTAACTAATGAATTAAACAGTATGTAAGGGACCAATGCAAAAGATCAATGTTGGATAATTAACTAAATTTTGATAGTTAGGGGGAGGTGTTATTGTCCGAAATAGTTAAGTTCTGCCGACATCGATTATTGAATTCAGGGAATCTTCGTCATGATCATTTCATCCAGTGTGGATTCCCTGGGGGATTCCCCATAATGCTCAGAAAGAAATAACTTGAAATTTTCTCATAAAACATCACATAAAACTTGATTAAATAGGAATATGAAGCCAATTACGGTTATTCTACAACAGATTATGAAAGACTAGTGAAAACTTTATGGAGTGACTTGCTTGGAGTGTAAGAAAGGTAAAACTGTCTCACAAGCAACTGAATTTGGAGATCAATAAAAAATGATTGCACAAAATTAATGAAATATTGTTAAAACCACATTCAGTCCATGGTGGCCTGGTGCCAATAACCATGTACTTTTTAAGCTAAATTATCAATCATCAACCTCAGGCAAGCAGGGGACAGTCCTCTGACAGCCATATGGGACAGTCACCCGGGGAGAGTCATCTGTTTCATCATGGGCATTCTTGAAAGCCCATGGTTTCATTCACATGTAAGACTGTCAACACAGCTGGACTGGGGTTTAAACAACAAGCTCAAAACGTGTATACTTCTACAAAATCAATCATCAAGAATATATGAATGTGCAAAAAATACCCTTCAATTAACTTATACAGGCCCTGATATGATGAACTCAAGTGTATTTGGATACACTTTTGAAAATGCCGAGAGGATCAATATTTCTCATAATTAGTTAACAGGGGGAGGGGGGGGGGTGTCTGGGAGTTAACTATCAAAGTTTAGCTATTAGCTCTCCTACATTGAACTTTTACATTGGTCCCTAAGATGTCACATGACAATCTAACAATGGCCTGGTATTGCAAAACTAAATTATTGCTAATTAATAGGAAATCTTGACATACTTTATACAATAGAACATGAGTTTGGATATGTATGCCTTGTTTTTTCTTTAAGAAAGCATGGACTGGGAACCCTTTAAACCAGAAATCAGTGATACATTAGATTATTCAAGCATCTTTTTTTCATATCACCCAAGACCATAAACAATAGATGCAACAATAAATAATATATTATACTTACAGACACCTGATATTTCACTTGATTAGTCCTTATCTCCTCATCCCCTATCACTATTGGAATATCTGTTTGTGCACTTTGGAAGTTTGCCACTGCAGCTTCTACATCTTTTCTCTCTTGACTTCCAGGCAGGAATTGAAGTATAGGTTCATTTGTTGCTTTAAAGTTAGCAAGTGCTCCATAACTTCTGACGCATGTAGGGAGCCTAAAATGAGATACGATAACAAATGATTATATCTAACATGCATAAAAAAAATGGTTGCCTGTGTTTTACAAGTGACCAATGGAGTTTTATACAGGGTGACCAGAAAGAAATGTTATCTAACTTAATTTTCAGTAATTTTTTACTCCAGTTTTTTAGGCATGACTAAGTCTAATTTGAAATTCTGATGGTAAATGGGAAGTACTCTTAAATTACATACCCAGCCAATACATATATTATTTATAGAGTTAATGTTCTCGTAATGAAATAAATACAGAAAATAATTTGGTGGAGGCTGTTATGAGGCTAGAAAAATAATTTTGGTGAGAGGCATGGCTGAAGTCAAGGCAGGCCTTGAAAATAAAAATAACTACCTGGCTAATTTTCAGGTATTATTTGGTTCCCTCGAATAGTGTATTTTAAGACGTACAAGGTATAAGATTTTTATAGAAAGCCCATTTCCTTGAGGGACACCTGATCTCACTGGTGTCATTGTATTAGATAAGATTCCCCGTCCTGTACTAAGGCCTACCTGTTTGGACCTTCCAACCCTTCCAGTACTAAGGCCTACACAGGCAAATAACATCAGACCCCATACAAGCCCTTATGGAGCTCATTGAGTCAATTGCTTGCAATTTTCGAGCTTCGTAAGAGCTTGTAATTACAAGGCCCGTAATTTTCGACCCCTGTACTTGACCATACGGTGCCCATCCTTCCTTGTACAGTGCCTGTTAAGAGGCCTGTAATAGCTCATTATTTTCGAGCCTTGTACTTGCCTGTATGATGCCCGTAACAAGGCCCATAACAAGGCTTGTAATTGCTCGTTTATTTTGATGAACACTTTTTGATCAATGAAATAAAACGTGTTCTAACCTTTGAAAGGTAGTTAAGGTCAGGGTGCATGATGGGAAATTTTCTGCATTCCTCAATTGAGTCACATGTTATTTTTCAAACAAGAATCACTCCTTCCCTTCATTGTCTATATCTTCCAGTTTTGCACAAAGAGTGCACTTATGTGCCTAGAAAAGACTTGTGAGAAGAATGTTTTGATAAAGTGTATAAAAAACAAGAAAATTCAGTGAAAAAAATCAGAAAATTTTCAGAAATGTTTTTCACTGAATTTTCTCATTTTTTATACATTTTACAAAACAAACCTTCTCACAAGGCTTTTCTAGGCACAGAAGTGCACTCTTTGTGCAAACTTGGAAGATGTAGACAATGTGGGGAAGGAGTTATTCATGTTTGAAAAATAACATGTGACTCAATTGAGGAATGCAGAAAATTTCCCAACATGCACCCTGTCCTTAAGACTCCCAATCTTTAGGTAACTCTTCTATTTCAAGTTCTACTGACTCAGTCAGGCCATGAAGTAGTAGATAGTAGAAGTAGATAGATATGTGAATGATGTTGCATGACATTGATTAAATGATTTAATGTGCTGTAAAAGAGTCCCTACGGCTTACTCGAGTCTCTAGCTTACAGCTAGACGAAACTTCATTGATTTCGTATGTACTGTGCTACACGCACCTACACGCACCTAGAACTCATTTTTAATAAATTTTATAAATATTTTTAAGAATATTAATCATATTTAGGATGAAGCGTTGCTTGTCTGGATTTAGATATTTCAAAATTTCATTTCGGAGTTTTGACACATGGTGAAATTTTCTCGCTGTAGCTAAAAATGGCTTCCGGTTCTGGACGTGAATAACATTTGAAATTATTCTCGCTTAAAGAAATCAAATATAACAATAGATTCAGACGGGGATGTGAGCTGATGTTCTTCAAATCTATACATAAAGGTATATTTCATATTATTATGCCATATTTACTGTGCGTGTGACACAATGATTTACAATATTTATAATACTAAGGCAGCTCAATCTTCCTCCTCAAAGCCGGAATATAGAGAAGGCTTTGGACCGAAGTAACCTACGGCCCTTGAAATTACGAACCTTGTACATGCTCGTATGGGCCTCCAGAAGAACAATTACAAGCATCGTACGAGTCCATAAGAAGATTGTGGTCCTTTTTGCCCGTAATGACTCTTAATTCTCGAGGCTTGTACGAGCTCGTACGGGGCCCGATGTATTTTTGTAGGAGCAGGCGCTCATGTGCGATCAATATTATTTTTGGTTACTAGAACTACTAAGGAACAAGCAAACTGCAAACGCATCAACAGGATAATGGGAAGTTCTCCATATATACTGAATACTCCTTGTAGTATAACTTACTCTACCGAGCTGACAGAAGTCAGCTCTGGGAACTTCCGTTGGCATTGCAATGAAGAGAATAAATTGAGCGCATGCGCAAAAATTAAGAATGGTGCGCGCCGGAACAGAATTTCTCCAATTTAACTGCAAATTACACAACAAATAGAACTTGTTGACACCACGCGCCAAAAAAAGGGCAAGTAATATTCAATTATCTTCCTAAATACCGTTACTTATGCTAGCGCACCAGCTGGAAGTTGGGGAAAAACGCTTCACACGCCGGTATATTCTAACGGTGTGTCAGCTGGCTTTTGAGCCAGCTGTGTTCAGTAAAGTATAACCTATAGATGACATGGGGGCTTCTTTTCCTCTACGGTATGAACCCATCCCATGCAATGAACTTCGGTTTTGGGGATTTGATCTCTAACATAAGTTCAAATCACATCTTGGAAAAATAGTTACAATGTTGACTTACCTCTGTGACAACCTCGATATCGTATTAGGCAACATGTCGTCGTTCAATTAACAAAATAGTGTTCAAAATTTGTAGAACGAACATATGATTTGGCTGGACCTAAGAACTTAAGCCCGGAAATGCATACGCGTGAACAAAATACTTGGGTCTACTTAAAATATTCATACGCGAACATTTCGTTCATTGCTACATATCTGATCCCAGGAGTGTATTTTTCTGGCTGCGGTTCCATGTAAGCAGTCACGAGCTAAAATGTCACGGCACTTAGCCATTTCTAACCATGCAACATGTATACTGTACATTGCTACACATTGCTACACTGTGTCAAGCACCTATACATAGGCTGGAAAGCGGGGTAAACGGGGTACATATCCTTACCTGTATACTCTACATTGCTACACTGTGAGGCAGCTTCTACACATACCATGGAGGTGGGGTAAGCGGGGTAAGCGGGGTGCATACCTTTACATGTATACTCTACATTGCTACACTGTGAGGCAGCTTCTACACATACCATGGAGGTGGGGTAAGCGGGGTAAGCGGGGTGCATACCTTTACATGTATACTCTACATTGCTACACATTGCTACACTGTGTCAAGCACCTATACATAGGCTGGAAAGCGGGGTAAGCGGGGTACATACCTTTACATGTATTCTCTACATTGCTACACTGTGAGGCAGCTTCTACACATACCATGGAGGTGGGGTAAGCGGGGTAAGCGGGGTAAGCGGGGTGCATACCTTTACATGTATACTCTACATTGCTACACTGTGTCAAGCACCTATACATAGGCTGGAAAGCGGGGTAAGCGGGGTACATACCTTTACATGTATTCTCTACATTGCTACACTGTGAGGCAGCTTCTACACATACCATGGAGGTGGGGTAAGCGGGGTAAGCGGGGTGCATACCTTTACATGTATACTCTACATTGCTACACTGTGTCCAGCACCTATACATAGGCTGGAAAGCGGGGTAAGCGGGGTACATACCTTTACATGTATTCTCTACATTGCTACACTGTGAGGCAGCTTCTACACATGCCATGGAGGTGGGGTAAGCGGGGTAAGCGGGGTGCATACCTTTACATGTATTCTCTACATTGCTACACTGTGAGACAGCTCCTACACATACCATGGGGTAAGCGGGGTAAGCGGGGTACATACCTTTACATGTTACATAGAATATATTAGTTACTACATTGTTTCAAGCTCCTACATGTATACATAAACACTGTACATTGCTACACTGTGTCAGGCACCTATACATAACCTGGGAAGCGGGATTAACGGGGTACATATCCTTATGTATATCTTATCCATATTAAATGATTTGTTTACACAATGTTGCATTAGTTGTGTGGATGTACACTAAAAAACTTACATTTTTTGGTTTTGGTTTGACTCCCAAATAACTATATAAAGTATGGACATTTATTTAATTGGTTTTTAATAAATAATCCTGTCTGGTTGTGATATAGTCATTTCACAGATACATCTACATAAAGCCTTGCCTGTGTATTTGTAATAATAACTAGTAAAAAACATTTCTTGAATATTGGGTACTTACTAAAGTGAATGAAGCTTATGTGTAACTATGTTTATTAAGAATGGTAATAAATTTAATTGTTATGAAGAATGTTGATATTATTCTTATAAAATGCACCTTTTACCAATTTATTCCTAGTAACCTTGCGTTGTGCGCCGTGCGTTAACATTTCATTGATTAAAAGTGCAGTTCATTTCCATTTTTTATTTTTACCAGAATGACGTTAAAAACTGACACATCTTGAATATTAATTAATTTAATTTATTAAATTTTGTTGGTGAGGACGTATTTATTGTTATGTTCATAATGGGAGCCAGGACTCGTATAGATGGCAGTTAACTACTAGGTTGTTCTCTACAACTAGCCCATTGGTTTATGTGTAAATATTGCTGTTTTGAAACTTCAAATTCTCTGCATATATCAAATAAATATCATATTTTCCTTCATCATTATTTTAATTTACAAACATGTTTTAAGATTCACAATTAGAAGTTTTGGATATTTTCAATAAAATTTATCTGTGTCAATATCTATCTATCTACCTGTTATTTAATTCGTAAATACTTTAAAACACTAGAGAGATTTCGCACATAAGTGAAAGTACAACTTATACGTATACGTATACTTTAAAGGGTCATGTCGAACTATTATATTTACTAAAATCAATTTCAAATTGTACTTAATGGAACATAACTATTCCCGATATAGAAAAGCTCCATCAACTAGAAACTGTGAATGCACGTGTAGATTATGCACATTATACTTAAATGCTTACTTCCGTGTCCTAGTAGTTGTAGTGTATTATAAACACGATCTTTTAAAGTGAGTCATGACATAAACAAGTTGATTATTTCAAAGTTTTCATGATCAGTATAAGTTCAATGAACTTACAAAACCAACGGTATATATACGAGATGATCAACGTATACAGTTGGATCTCCGTATAAAGCTTTACCTGCATGTGTGTGGAACAATTGACCGCAAGCATTTTTTAAAAACAATTGGCTGAGTAGGAACAGTATCCAATCAAATACTTAAACCATCAATTTGAAACACCAATCAAACTAGTAGGTTCTAGCCTGGAAACGACCCATTCAGTAGCTCAACAAATGACATACAGGGTGTTTCATAACGAGCATCTCAAAAAGTCAATTTGATAAGAGATAGGTCTATAACATACGTACTATATATGAGCCTATTTTATTCTAGACAAACACATTTGGATCAACTAAACATGCTACAATTCAAGAAAGAACAAATGGCATCCCTTTGACCTTTATTTATTACAGTCCGAGAAGATCTTTCCTGACGAAAAGCCCACATAATGAACACCTTGTACGTTTGGTTATAAGTATAAGTATACGTTATAAGTTGTACTTTCACGCCGTGCGAAATCTCTCTACTAATGTAAAGTTCAAACGTATAATGTAAGTTAATCATCCACTCAAAATCTAAATTAATGAGTAGAGCAATATTACAGTAGCGACTGAACCTATTTTCAGCGTGGCGTTTTACATAATGTTACACAATATTTCCAAATGTTAATTTCGACTTATTATGTGCTCTGTCATGGGACTAAACTGTTGAATGTTTCTGTAGAAGACATCGTAGTTCAAATATCAGTAGATCATTCGCACATTCGTGTATCTGGAGAGTGCAACTTGTCAAGTGGACATTATGTACAGAGCAGATGTATGTAATCGAGGGACCATAAAAGTATGTCATTAAATCATTGAATGAAAATAGTGTAATAACTGAGACCACCGTTACCCAACAATTATAGTGATCAGTCGCCTATTAGTAGCATTAAGCTATTATTAAAAATGCGTATAAGTGATCCTCGTGTTATAACAAGTGATCATGATATTAAATTTTCCCAATACACATTTCGAACATGTACTAACTTAAGATGGTATTTTGAAATTTGCAAAGTATGGATAATTTATATTTTGAAAACAAAATTCAATATGTTAAAGTTCATCCTCCTATCTCAGCTGCACATCTTCTTTGCTAACTTTATACATGATCACGGGGCGATGCGCGCCATATGTCTAGTGTAAACCATCGTCCACGAGGCAATAATAGTGAAAATGGCAAAGTCTACCACAATATCAAACGTTTAAAGGCAATTGTATTTTAAGAATTTCGTTTACACACTTTGGAATATAGTATAAATTCATTTTTGTCTATATTTGTGACAACACGTTTTACTTGTTTTATGTTCATTTTCGTAATCGAATCATTTGCCATTCTTCTTTTATTAATTGCGTCGATGCACTTACAGTATATATCATAAACCCTATTCACGTCTACCGTTTCTTTACCCTTTCTCTTTATTAGCAATCTGTATATCACGGCAATAAGATAAAATTGGAATTTATCCGTCGGCCCAGTATTAATTTCTTGCAAATTGTTCGACAAATATTCGAAAGATGTTACATGTTTCTTGCTGGCTTTTGTTAGTCTCCTTCTAGTTTTTTTCACATTTAATTCCTTTTTTGGTTTAGCCTACCATTGTTACAATTTTTTGAAGGGCAAGCACACGATTGTTGACATTTAGCATTTTTTGAAGAACATGGGCATCTTCTACCTACACAGCATAAGATTTCTTTTCCACTTCTTAATCGGTTGACACCACACCTACAACCTTTTTTACTACCTCGATATTTCTTAGTTACAGAGCGTGCCAAAGAATTTGCGTTTCTTTGAATCAAACTGTCATAATGACCTGCTGAGCCCGCATTACTTAAGGAAACGCTGATAATAGTTTCATTATCAACCGGTGAAGAAAGCGTCGGGGTTATTATTTCTATTGCGTTTTCATTGTCTGTAATTACCACTATCGGCATACTAAAAACATTTGCTGCAGCAAAGGGCAAACAGTTCCCCAAATTAGAATCATAAAATGAATTTTGTAAAAAAGCAGTGGCCTCAGTTATTACACTATTTTCATTGTCCGCGTTTAAGAATATTTGGTACGTCTCCGGATGCATCATCCACTATGGCGGATCAAAGTTGAAATTATTTTCATTTCCATTGCACTTGTGAATCCCAAAGAATTTAGATGATCTTGAATATGTGATTCACCCTGCTCAAGTAACAATTTAATAATATTTGCGATCGCATGATGAAAACAATTTCCATCTCCCTGAACACGTATACGTTCAAACCCAAAGGCTTTTATATTATTTGATAGCCTGTTTTCATCATGGTTTCTTGAATTAGCAGATCTTGACAATTTCAAAAATTCTGTATCTATCAAGGGTAATGATTCAATGTCAAAAACGTCAACCAAATCTCCGAATTTTTTTATTTGTTTCGCCAATGAATGAAAATGTGTTGCCCTTTGTAATAATTCTTGAAGGTTAATGCTACTGTAATCGTGCTCTTGATGTAAATCTTTTTCCGAAGAATAATTATTTCCCGACGATACATTAAAAAATATTCCTGTTTTTGATCGACATGTTTGAGACGGACCCTAATTTCAATTTGAAAATTCGCCAATTTCCCTTGGAGTTTACTTAAATGCCTTGGGTAACGAATGTACAATTGTATACAGATATATACT